AAAAAAAAAAAAAAAAAAGGGACGCCATGGAGCTGACCTCATTCCTTCAAGTGGCCGCCTTCACTCTCTTGGCGGCCCTCCCAACTGTTCACGCCGGCACCACTTACTACGACATCCCCTGGAACATGACAGCCGGCGAAACCTACAACGTCACAATCGACCAGAAAGTTGAACCGGGGTCTGAAAACGCAAGGACAGCCGATGCTTATCGCGTCTATCTCGCCTTGACGCCGCCCGGATGGGGCACAGGAGCTTCATGCTGGCTCCAATATCTCATCCCTGTGGCCGAAACACAAGTCAACATCACTATCCCCCCAGACGTGGTTCCTGACAAGACACGCATTGAATTATCAACTGCCCTTGTCAATTCGAAGCGTCCTCGCAATCCAAACACTGGGTATGATTACAGTGGAAGGTCGATCATTCTAGGGGCAAATGGGACTTGGGGCAAGGCCGAGTTGGATGGACGAAGCATGGGCAATGCTGATGAAGTTTCATGTGTGGCCTATAGCTGTGTTAGGGATTGCTATGATCAGTATTGGAAGGGAGACAAGGATGATGACACGTTTTATGAGAAATCTCATGCTTGCTCGCAGGCTTGTACAAAGGATTTGAACCCATCATTATCAAATGCCGTATCTCTGAACGAGATGTCGATTCAGAATGTGCTGACAGTAGGGTTGGTTGTTGGGTTTGTTCACTTAATAGCTGGCGCATTTTAGATACTCAGATTTCTATCATCTCACAATAGATAAAAGAGCAATAATTAGATAGTTAGACTAATGATAATCTGACCTGAAAACACGATATACTATTCTGCAGGCTTCGAGCTGCTGTTTCACTTCTTATACAAAGCTCGCAAAGCGTCAACCAATTCCTGCTCTCCCACAACAGTGTTCTCATCATATTTGATATCCTTACCAATAACCCCGTCGCCCAAGCCAGCAACTGTCATCTCCTTAAACTCCTCAGCATGAGCTTCCGGGACAATCTGCTTCCAATAATCGAGCAGCTGGTCTTTTTCGACAAGCTTTAATTCAACCTTCTTCCCTGTAATTTCTTCCACTGCCTCTTTGAGATCGTTGGCACCGTAAGCTCGTGGGCCGAATAACTTGTAGTAATGTGGGCTTGGCTTGGCGGGTGATGAGAGGAGGGAGTTGACGCAGCTTAAGGCTATGTCTTTGAGTCCGACCTAGAGTTTGATATCAGTCTTGATTTTCTTCGTTTTTACTCTGAAGTGGTTACTTACCATTGGAAACTTATAGTCAATGGGTGTAATCCATGAGTATATGGTAGGGTTATCTTCCTTTGCAACATCAAGAAGAGGGGCAAAGTCTTCGAAGAAATAAGTTGGTCTGATAATTATGACCTCTGGCACAGCATCTTTCAAGATTTCATCCGAAATATGGTTCAGACACAAGACACCCTGATAAGTAGATACGGTCAGCGTGTTGCTTAAACGTATGGGAATGTTTTCGTAGACTTACAATACCGCTAGAGTTCTGGGATCCAATAGCGGATAGGATAAGAAGTCTGTCAACGTTTGCCTTCTTCAGAGCATTCTTCACGTTGGTAGCGGTCCGAGTTGCCCATTCTGCCTGGTTTGTTCCATCCAAAATGGGAGGTGGGATGTAAAAGACGGCGTTTGAGCCTGTAAAATCAAGGCTATCACCATCTCCAACGTCACCTTTGACGGCTTCGAAGTTTGAATTCTGGACGAACTCAGGTGGTGCTTTGGCTGGATCTCGATAAATAGCCCTAACAGAAGGTTTGCTGTTAGAGGATAAGAGAGCGCGGATTGTTTCTCGACCAGCTTTGGTTGAGGCTGGGAGGACAGTGATGTGAGGAGACATGGTTGTGATGTTGATAGGTAGATATTTAACTGTAAAGATGAATTGATCTGATATTATTTAAGTCTTGGGTGAATAAAGAGAGTAACTTATATAGAGATTCTCTTGACCTAGAGTATCTAAGAATCTTATGTCAGATCTCAAAAGAAAACATTGGAAGTGACTGGTTACACTTGGCGATCCTTCGCAGACCAAGAAATCAAGTTGGCGCGGACAAAGGCGGACATTGAAAGTCCGAATCAGCGAGAGTCCGAAAGGATTCAGCTGAAACTCATCATGGTCTTGGCCTTGTGGATCTCGGATAAGCATAAATTCGATGTAAATCTGCAGGCTTACAAATACTCTACCACTCTCAATTGAACTCTATGAGTAGAGTATCACTAGGTAGAAGGCTTGAAAGGTTGCTACACACCCTCTCTTATGCTCAATGTGTGAGAAGGAAGTTTGGGGAAGAAGCATAGCGAGACAGAAGAATCAGAGATTCATAGCAGTGAGGATAGGGCGTTTCGTTTTACTGTCAGAATACTTCAACTCTTGAGATTTCGGATAAGCAAAACACCAATTGATCGACCACCAATCATGGGAGATACCGACTCACCATGAGAATGTCCTAGAATGTGCATCACCTATAACAACCCCGCATCGATATAAAAATACGAATATTCTATTACTATCATTATCTCATGATCAGGATACCGATTCAACAGATTTATAATCACTCAAGATGTCACCATCCGCTACCATCGCTACCCCTGGTCAATCAATTCTAAACACAGCCAAGGCCCAAGATGGCTCAGTAAAGCGTATTCACAAGATCCCCGTCTTCGCCACTAAAGAAGAAACTCGAAAATGGCAGCTAGAACAAATGGCTGCTGCATTCCGAGTGTTTGCTAAACTTGGGTATGCAGATGGAAGTAGTGGTCATATTAGTTTACGAGGTACACCACAAGATAACCCTTCCTTGGGGCAAGTCTAACAATTTACAGACCCTGTTGATCCAGACACATTCTGGATAAACCCCTATGGCGTACACTTTGGTCTTCTCACAGTCTCGGATATGGTTCACATAGACAACAAAGGCAATCGCATAGGAGGCGCAGAAAAGCCAGTCAATACAGCTGGCTTCATCATTCATGAAGCCATTCACAAACGACGTCCAGACATAAATGCAGCCTGTCATCTCCACAGCCCCTACGGCCGCGCCTGGTCAACATTTGGCAAACCTATCGATATGATCAACCAAGACAGTTGCATGTTCTACAACGACCTCACAGTCTATACCAACTTTGGTGGTGTTGTTTTCGCCAAAGAGGAGGGAAGTCAACTTGCTGATGCGCTAGGCGATACTAAAAAGAATATCATCTTGCAGAACCATGGACTTCTTACGTCGGGAGGGACTATTGGTGAGGCAGCAGCTTTCTTTATTGCCTTGGAAAGGGCGTGTCAGGCTCAGTTGCTTGTGGAAGCCGCTGTAGCTCCTGATGGATCGCAGTTGAAGAAGACGCTGGTGAGTGATGAGGAGGCGCAGTATACCAAGGATAATACTGGAAGTCCTGAGGCCATGTATATGCAGTTTGAGCCTGAGTATCAGATGATGCTGAAGGAGTCCAAGGGTGACTTTCTACTATGATAGTGTGTAAACATGGTCCAGGTGTTCTGAAATAAAGTTGCATGAAGTCATGAGAGAATCGTTCACAAATCATTCCTCCACAATTCGGGACATCGGGCCTGGGGGTAAATCCTTCTGCAAGTGCGCTACAAGTTACCAAAAGGGTCGCAGTAACCTGGTAGTCCAGGTCGCATTATACAATTTACCCAGCTTGGCAGCTCGTATATATCCTGTTAGTTGTGCCGATAGCTGAGGCATGGCATGTGGTATATTGGCGTGCTTACGGGGACGTATATGACACAGAATATGTATATATCGAGGGATCGTCGTCCTTCGATGATACCAGTCTCAAGTCTCATTCATCTTATAAGATAAACAACGATGCGGTTCGCTCACTTGTTTCAGTCCGCTTGTGCGTTCTTGGCTTGGCCGCAAGATGTTTTATCTGTAGAGACATCTCAGCCAACTGTCACTGTAAAGAATGGCACATACGCGGGTGTCTATAACAAGCACTATGGTCAAGACCACTTTCTCGGTATCCCTTTTGCTCAGGCAAGTCATCAAACCACTGCCTCATCTCCCATAACTAACTCTTGCTTAGCCCCCCGAGAGATTCTCAGTAGCCCAAGGTCTCAATACTTCATGGAAAGGTGTTCGAAAGGTTACCAAACTCGCCGTCCACTGTTATGGCTTCGGATCTGACCAAACCGGCTACGAGCAATCCGAGGATTGCCTCTATCTAAACATCGTCCGGCCTTCAAAGATGAAGAAGACTGCTGGCCTCCCCGTGGCTGTTTGGATCCATGGAGGAGGCTTAATACAGGGCGGTGCTTCTGATAAGCGGTACAATTTATCTTTTATCGTCGAGCAAAGCGTTGCCGTTGGTAAACCTGTCATCGCTATTGGTCTTAACTATCGTCTTAATGCGTTTGGTTTCATCGGTGGTAAAGAGATCACGAAAGAGGGAGCTACTAACCTTGGTTTTCGCGACCAAAGACTTGCGCTTCGTTGGATTAACGAGAACGTCAAGGCTTTTGGCGGCGACCCTGGTAAAGTAACTATCTGGGGAGAAAGTGCTGGCGCTGAGAGTGTTGCGGCTCAACTTTTTGCGTATAATGGCAAGTCGATAATAGCGTCTAGGTTACGCTCTTAATGCTAACGCTGGTAGGACGCAACGATGGGTTATTCAGGGGAGCAATCGGCCAGTCTGGGTTCGGAGCCCCTCTTGGTCGATATCCTGGTGGTTTCAACGCAACTCAAGCAATGCAGGCTACCTACGACCGTCTTGTTACCAAGGTCCCATCATGCGCCGACTTGGCAGGATCAGGGAAGTCTCTGCCTTGCCTGCGAAAAGCTCCTATAAGTGAGATAACCGCTGCCATATTAGCCATCACCACGACCCGTCGTGAGTGGGCTCCAGTCCTAGACGGAGACTTTCTTACAGACTATACCACCAACCAGTTATCCAGCGGCAATTTCGTCAAAGTCCCAATCCTCATTGGTGCCAACACAGATGAAGGTGTTTCATTTGGTACTGGCAGTCCTATCAATACTGATGAGGACATGAGAGATGCTCTTACCTATATTATCCCACCTCAAGTAAAAGACACCGCAGGAAAGAGTGTTGATGAACTCACTGATGAAGCCCTGGAGTTATATCCTGACGATCCAAGGGTCGGAATACCATCCTTGGAGACTTGGCCACATGTCATCAAACCAGGTGATGAGTACGCTGAAAGATTTGGGCTTCAGGCTCGTCGATCGAATGCTTTATTCGGAGACTTTACTATACACTATCAACGACGGCGTGCGAACAGGGTCTGGGCAAAGCATGATGTTCCTAGTTATGGGTATCGCTTTAACATCAAGCCCAATGGACAGCCAGAACATGCTGGAGTGGCACATTTCCAAGAGGTAAGCATATTTTGACAAAAGTCTTTAGGTACTTATACTGATTTTTGAAGGTTGCTTTCGTGATGTACAACCTCAATGGCGACGGATACACAAGCGACCCTCTTGGTGGTGAAGCATCATATCAAAAGGCTACTAGGGCAATGGCCAAGAATATCAGCACTGCGTGGATCAACTTCTTCAATAATCTCGACCCCAATGGAAAGAAGGGAGAAGACCTTTTCAGTGGTGAGAAATGGCCTATTTATGAGTCTTCTGGGGACTCTATCGTGTTCAACATTAATGGCTCCCACATTGAAGCAGACGATTGGAGATCTGACGGTATGGATTGGATGATCAAGCATGCCTTGGACGTCTTTGGAAACTAAAGGTAGTACTTTGACTCCCATCACATAACAAATATCAAATGGGCTGCTATATTTCCGTCTATGTCTCGAGTAGTCAAAGCAACATCTCTCTAGGCCTACTAAACTTAAGTCAATTCGTAGCCTTCCCATTCACTCAAAAGTCCAAGAATCGTTATCGGATATGCTTTTCGCCTAGAATCTTTCCCCCACATCAGCTTTGGTGACAGAAGCCTGAGGCCGTTGCTTTCTCGACACATTCTCGTCAGCACTCTTCCCATTCCCGCCGTACCTCTTATTAGCCACTCCTTTGGCTTATCAAGATTTCGCTCTTTATCCTCTACATCCCAGTCATTCTTCTTGTTCAGGAAGGCTATTATCATAGCCGCCATGCCCACAGCGATTGGTGTCGAGACAGATGTGCCGCTCATCCTGCGGTATCCTCCGCCTGGCCAATGACTAGATATATCCACACCAAAGGTGCCGAAGATGAGGAAGTTCTCATTTGCGGTAGGGCTGACCCAGGCAAGTTTATAATGTTCATCGGTTGATCCCACGCAGTTGGCCAGTCGGTGATCACGCGCCGGCCAGGCTATGGCATGAATATCTCCATGATTTGCAGCTGCTGCGAAGACACAGATTCCTTTATTGCCTGCTTCATCTAAAGTTTGGACAAGTTCGAGAGAGCCTTGTTCACTAAAGCCAAGTGACATGTTGATAATGTTTACCCGGTTTTCTATGGCCCATCTGAGAGCCTGGTGTATTGTTAGTCACAGTAGACGATGGGATGTGATAACATCTAGATAGATACCTCTCGGATGGGATGGGCCTGTTTGCCACCTCTTTTTGGCTTCTTCTTCGGGCTTTCTTCATTATCATCTGGTTTCCGTGAACTGCTCACTTTTGCAATGTATAGTTCAGCACGCGGAGCAATGGTCATGATCAAGCCTGCAATATGAGTACCATGGCCGTCTTCATCAGTCACGTCATCGTCAGGTCCATCTGCAAAGTTCTTGCAGGCTTTGATTCTCTTGCTTTGTATCTCTTCTGGATATGCTGAGGTCTGCAGCTTCACCCCTATTTTTGTTCTTCGTTTTGCCGGTTGGCTGAAATCGGGATGGTTTAGATCAATTCCAGTGTCGAGTATGGCGACCTTCACCGGCGGCCCAGGCCACTTGTCGGTAGGCCCTTCAATATCATCGTCGGGATGCCATCCAATCCGGTTATACCATGTTTCCTCCAAAGTCTTGAGGAAAGCCTCGAAATTCTCCGAGCTGGGTTTGTTAGCAATGTCACTGAATTAAATAATGTAAACGAACTTTTGAGGCGTGGGTGTAGACTGTTCTTCCTGACTTCTTGCATCTCCGATTGCGTATAATTCACCTTTACCTATGAGATTATCATGTATACATCGCTCAAGCTGTTAGGAGTACCTACCTGGGTCTTCTGCAACGTCCCTTGGCCCCGGAGAGGGTGTTCTGCACTGCGGCCTCTCCTTCGGAGGAGCCAAGCTATTATTGTCGTCCAGTTCCTTATCATCACGGTTAACTTCGGAAGGGTCGACATGTCTGACAGGTAGCGGCATTGGAAAGCGGTGGCCGTGCTGTCTAGCAATCTTCCATGCATTTTCTCCGCTCTCGTTTGTTGCTGAGCGACTTGCACCATACTCGAGTAGGACGCGCAAAGTCTTCTTATGGCCCTTCTCAGCAGCCAGCATTAATGGTGTGTAACTCGTCTTAGTTTTACAATCAACTTCCGCCCCGTGCTCAAGAAGGACCGCAACGCACTTCTCATGTCCAGCCCTCGCTGCAACATGTAGAGGATACCATCCCCTAGGTAGAGTCGCCCCTGCTGCGTGTGGATCGATATGTAGGATATAAGCAACGGCTCGTTCAAGGTCTTGCGATATAGCCCAGTGCATTGCGGCGACCAGATCAACTGGTATACCAGGTCTAATATGACGGTCCAAGAAGTCCCCGAATTCTCCTTCTTTCTTAGCGCACTCGAATATGTGAGTGAACTGCTCGCGATCACCCTGATTCAATTTCTCGACGAGATCGAGAGGCGACTTTCCATTTTCATTTCTGACTGTGGGAGACGCTCCATGAAAAAGCAGAAGAGCGGCCGCAGATGCACAGCCGGACCGAACAGCAAGATGCAGAGGAGTATTACCGGTTGTGTTCACAAGCTTGGGATCTGCTCCATTGACAAGGAGAGTCAATATGAAGTCTGGCGATTCTATGGTTGCAGCAACATGGAGTGCACTTCTTTTAGTGGTCTTTTGATCTGTCTGAAGATTGACGTCGGCTCCTTTTCCCACCAAAAGTTTCACAATTTCGAGGTTTCTTGCTTCAGTTGCAAAAACGAGAGGAGTGAGTTTGCGAAAGCTTCGTGCATTAACATCTGCTCCTTTGTCGAGAAGATTCTTAACTACCAACGTTCGCTCATTCTCACAGGCGTTGTGCAACGGAGTGCGCCAATTCTTGGATCCGCTGCGACTTCTTGCCTCTAGACAATCTTTTGGATATAAGTTTAGCAGTTCAATAGCGATATAAACCCGCTTCTCAATAATAGCTGCGTGGATAGCATCGCCACGTTCTTTTGGTCGATTCTCGGGGTCAAATTTATGGCTGCGTAAAAACTGCTTATAATCTTCAGGCTTCATGGTTGCGAACGATGAGTTTGGTTCACCACGATTGTTTTGAGGCCATCAGCTTATTATAGGCGGGGAATGGCAATCAACCTATGATTCGAACGAGGCTTCGGGCATTTTTAATTAGAAAGAAGATCCTCGTCGAAATTCAGCTGCGCTGCGCAGTAACGTCATTGGCGCTGACAGTGCGACCCATTCCTTGCCAGCGGTGGACGATCTTTATGTGGTGTTATATATTGCAGAATATTCCCAAAGTTTTGGAGCCCAAACTGCGCATAATCATTACAAGATGGCATTCGGCGACAAGCCCAAGAGATATTGGATCATTCCACAAGAATGCCTCTCTCCAGACGATCTAGTCCTTGGAAGCATTCTCAAGTACCCAAACGATCCAATTGACATCCTCAATCGAAGAAAGGTCGAGCCAGTTGACCCCTTGGACATTCTCAGCGAACGAGAACAAGTTACCAAGAGCTTCACTGATGCATTGAACACTGGCTTCGGATCCAAAGTTGGAGCATCTTCTGTCCTCGCTGCTGTCCTGGGCGCTTCACCATTCATCGAAGGGAACTGGTCCAAGGGCAAATCATTCACTATTGAGGCAACAAATGTCCGAGCGCAACACTTCACTCCATCGCCGTCTTATGTCAACAGAGCACTACGTACACGGCAAGTCGATGCATTTGTTCGGGAGTCTTTCTTCTATGCTCCCATCTATATGGTCGTCGGGGTCACGGTTGCGAAAACAATGTCCCGCAAATCAGAACGATCTCGCGATAGAGGCGGTGGTGCAGGTCTGGGAATAGGGCCACCAGGTTTAGGGCTGGAAGTATCTGGAGAGTTGACAGCAAACCATGAGACACAGTCATCCTACCAAGACTCGGTCGAGGAAGATGTCGTTCTGGCGTATCGTCTCCGAAGATTTCGCTATTCCAAGAGAAAGGATGGTTTCAAAGGCAAGAAACAAGACGAGATCAGCCATGTTCACTATAGCCTGCCAGAGAAGATGTTGAGATCTGGAGAACCGATTGAAGAAGTCGCAGAATTTGCAGGTTTTGAAGAGGATGAAGAAGATGAGGACTCATATGTTCCCGCCTTTTCTCGTTTCGAAGGAGATGATGTTGTCGCTTCGGATGTAGAGATGGCCGGATTTGTGGAAGGGGGTACAGATGAGGAGGATTCTGATGATGCTTCTTAAGTGAAGGAGCCTAGTATCAACTTAACGATTAGGAAGTGGAAGCTATCATTATCTATACGATTTTCGCTGTCAATAGATATTTTCGTACTATTGTATCCAAATTATTGTCCATATTTGATTCTCGAAATCACACTGTCTTAAAATCCTGGTGATCGTTTCCTCTATTGTGGTGTCTAGGGTACCACAAGCTTGGGGTCCCCGTCAAGCCATCAAGGATATGCATTTCCTAACAACTCAACCAGCTGGAACTCAAGGTCCGAAGTCCGAACTCAAGAGCAACCTGACAGTTGAGTCTCATCTTTAGTGGATTAAATATTGACTCTTCCCCAGTCGGTGGAACTCCAGAGAATTCACGGAGTCCCGATCTGGTAATTAGAAATCTATTTATACTACCCCATGCAAATCCAAGACCTAAAGTTCCTCCGCCTATCTAAATGCTTATCAATCACTCTTGTATAAATATTGAGTAGGAATATTGTCGTCATGAACTTGACATATTATCCGAAAACTCATCTTTTGATATCCCGAATACTCTCACGCACCTGAATATGTCAGCCAATGAAAGTACAGCTGAGGCCACCTATGAGGCCGGCTGCCATTGTGGTTATATCGGCCTCTCTGTGACATTGTCACCTCCTCTGCCTGAGCATCAAGTTACAAACTGCAATTGCTCTGTCTGCCGTCGAACAGGTTACCTTCTTGTTTGTGAGACGCACCTCCTGATTTGATATGTACGGTGTAGAAGCTAACCTATACCTCAGACCCAAAGTACGAGAAAGTTGAATGGCACAACGACTCAGATAAGCGAGTCTCTCGATACTTGTTCAGTACTAAAACTCGCGATCACATGTTCTGCCCCAAGTGCGGTGCTAGTATTGGCATTGATTTTGGCAAGACACGACCCGATGATCCTCTCTATGGTATCAGTGTACGTATAGCAGACCTTGAGTTTGAACCCAAATCGACTGACTGATGGCTTTGCAGGTTCGACAGTTCAACAACATTGATCTAGACTCACTTCGATATGAGAAGTTTGACGGTATGCAGAAGTTAGGAAACGGCGTTGATTTATCTGGTACAGAAATCGACCCAAAGACAGGCGAGCCACTTGCTTCTGCTTCTACTTGATTGCTTCTATCCAGTGTCTGAAACAAGAAGGAGTGTGTACTGTACTGGTTTTGGAAGGGCAGGGGTTAAGAAAAAACACCAATGAATGATCGAGATGACAGCTGAAGGCTTACTTGTTTCCAAGCCATTTACGCAAGCTTTCTGAGGGTGGGGATGGGCGATCGTATCATGGATGCTTTAGTGGCACTGACAGTTCCTTGTTAGCTTGGTTGGTCTAGCCTGGGTCTGGGCCTGTAGGTGCTTGTGCTGTGGCCTGTCTGGCTGAACAAGTACCCTGGACCTTGGCTTTTGATCATCGATTAGAAGTCTTGGCTTACATGTATGAAGTTTCACGACGACTACATGGTATCAAGCTATGGCTGTGGTAAATGGAAGCAGTCTTGTCATTTTTATCGTGTCTACTGCAAACAACAGAACTGATTGCTCTGCATTTAATGGCGTTCAAGAACAGGTACCTGTAACAAGTGCGGGGAGCTCTCTCCCCTACCACCACCCCGCCATAGCTCTCTGTACGCGGCTCTTGACGTACACACTAAAAATGATCGACCCCGGGCCAAAGCTCCCTTGTTTATCGGCTAATCGACGTCATCGACCTTAAATCATACCTGATAGATGATTGCCAGTTTCCTTGGCTGATCCCAGAGCGATGAATCAGTTGCAATGAGCCAAGCGTGTATGTTTGTTTTGTGCGACACTAATTACTACTAGTATTTCATTCATTTCTCCTCTTCCTTCTTTTCTCCTCCCTCAACCCGTTTCTTTCCTTCCGTCAGGGCGTCAGAAGAATTGGCCGTCGAGACGAAATAATCTCGTCACCTTATGCCATCTTGGACTAATACTTAGGCTACTTTATTTTGGCAGGACAACTCTTCTGTTACTCACCTGCCTTCGTCATCATCCTTACTCCAGTCCTCCCACTGCTACTCTGCAACAGATAGAATAGGTCGTCATCATGTCGCAGTTTCAGCAGCAGCAGATACCCGCGGCCGGCCAACATTACAGTGGCCGGAACCGCGTTCCCAATGTCAAGGAGTTTATGGACCAGCTAGATCAGAACAAGAAGCAACGTGATGCTCAAATCGAAGAACAACTCAAGCAGAACAAGATTCATGGAGAGACAAAGGATCACAAACAAGACAGAGCCGAAGCTATTCGACAGCAAAAGGACGTTCGCACTGTCCGCGATCCGGTTACAGGAAAGGATGTCGGTATTCGAGACGCAGATATGGATTTCGAGGATGCCGTTGATAACCCTCAGGTACGTTGATACGGAACGTTCTCTACGATGTTTTTCTAATCCCCTCTTAGATGTCAGTTCCCAACGAGAACTTAGGAAAACCCACCACCGTTGCAGTCTCTTCAAAAATGTCTGGAGAGGAGTATCGTTACGCTCAAGATGTTACTGCGCCCCCAGACCCCGTTGAGACGGGTGCGACATCTGATGTACCCATTCGAAGTGAGAAGACTTCTGTCGTGTTCTACAAGACCCCCTCGGTCAGCTACGAACCAATGTTTGCCATTCTTGAACAGCGCACCAATGTCTTGTGTGCCGGTATCTTCTGCGCGATTGTCTTCATTGGAAAGATGTTTGGCGGTCGTCTCCTAGGTCTCATCCCTCTGGGATTCTGTGTTGCATCAGGCGTTTTCCTCTGGACCAAGGATTTGATTCGCCAAGGTCGAGATCTCGAATGGTCAAGCGAGCAGGAACGTGGCGAGACTGCCACTGCGAACCTGATCCCTGAGTCCGTTGAGTGGATGAACACTATGTTGGGAATCATGTGGGGTCTCATTAACCCTGAGATGTTTGCAGGAGTTGCCGATACGTAAGTTACTTAGTTCAGTCCCGGAGATATTTATGCTAACAGAAACAGTCTCGAAGACGTTATGGCTGCCTCCGTTCCTGGTGTCATTGAGAACGTTCGCGTCGCAGACATCTCTCAGGGCAACAACCCCATTCGTATCCTCAGCATGCGCGCTCTTCCCGACTCCCATGTCCAAGATATCAAAGATGAACAGCACCGACAGAATGAAAAGACTACCGACCCCGAAGAGCTTGCAGCCAACGAGCAAGCTGGTTCCTTCTACAATCTCGAAGTTGCCATCGCCTACCATGCCAAGCCCTCCGGTGGAGATATCGCCTCCAAGGCTCGCAACATGGGTATGCAGCTGGTGTTCTATCTTGGTGTCAAGGGGCTTTTTGGTGTTCCGTTGCCTATCTGGGTCGAGCTTCAAGGTCTCGTCGCAACCGCTCGAGTTCGACTGCAGTTGACCCCTGACCCTCCTTTCCTCAAGACCCTGACCTTCACACTCATGGGTATTCCCAAGGTTCAGGCCGGTTGTACACCAATGATTGAGAAAGGCGTTAATATTCTCAACCTGCCTCTGATCTCCAACTTTGTTAACTGGGCCATTGGCGCTGCTGCGTCGATGTATGTGGCGCCCAAGAGTCTGTCATTGGATCTCGGCAAGATGCTTCAAGGTGACGACATCAAGAAGGAGACTTTGGCTCTAGGTATCATGTTCGTTCGAATCCACAAGGCTACTGGCCTCAGCAAGCAAGATCACCGTGGTAGCAAGGGTGGTGGTTCTGATCCCTACATCACCATCAGCTGGAGCAAGTTCTCCAAGCCCCAATTCTGTACGCGAGTCATCCAAGACGACCTCAACCCCGTTTTCGAGGAGAGTGCCGGTCTTCTTGTCACTGCAGACCTCCTCAAAGCCGACGAGCAGCTGTCGGTCGAGCTTTGGGACAGCGACAGGTCGTCTGCCGATGATGTCGTTGGCAAGGTTGAGCTCAGTATTCAAAAGCTTATCCAGCACCCTGGTAAAATGTTCCCTCAGGTTTCCAAGCTTCGTGGTGTCAAGGCCGAAAGCGAGATGCCTGGAGAGCTTCACTGGGAAGTGGGATTTTTTGGAAAGACGCAATTCCGTAAGGCTCTACGAACAGATGGTCGGGATCTCAATCTTCCCAAAGAACTCGCAGACAAGCCTGAGCTTCAAGAGAACAAGGGCGCTATCGACAACGCAGAGGAAGATGCCGTCATCCACACTCCTCCTGATCCCTTGTGGCCTTCTGGTATTCTGAGCGTTGTTGTTCATCAGATTGTTGGTCTGGAGTTGGCCAATATCAAGGGCTCTAATGGAAAGCGAAAGGGTCGTGAGTACGAGCCAGCCCGCCCTGAAGCTGGTGAAGTAAAGGAAGAGCAAGCCAAGACTCTTCCCAGCTCATACTGTACAATTCTGCTTAACGATGACCTGATCTACAAGACTCGAACAAAGGTCGTTTCATCTCAGCCTATTTTCAACGCAGGAACCGAAAAGTTTATCCGCGACTGGCGCTCTGCTATTGTCACTGTCGCCGTCCGTGACTCGCGCAACCGACAGCACGACCCGCTTATCGGTGTTGTTCCCCTCAAGCTGACCGATATCCTTCAAACCAGCAGCGAATCGACTAGGTGGTACCCTCTTGATGGAGGTATTGGCTTTGGGCGCATCCGTATCTCGTTGCTGTTCCGTTCTGTCGAGATTCGCCTTCCTCCCCCTCAGCTAGGCTGGGATATCGGTACTTTCGAATTCTTGTCCAACGCTATCACAACCACTGGATATGCTCCGGCCAACCATGTCAAGCTTCGTTTCCGTACTGGAGGCTCCTCTGCCAGTATTGGTAAGAGCTCATCCACACGAGAGGCTGACGGCATGTCTTTCAACGTTAGTGGGGAGAACGACAATCAGCGTATTCGACTTCCAGTCCGTCACCGTTACAGTTCGCCTATCTTTGTGGAATTCTATCCAAGCGGCAAGAGGAACCCTGATGCCTATGCTGTCCTCTGGCTCCTGGAGCTGGTTGATGGTGAAGCTAAGGATTTCGACATTCCCATCTGGAGGTGCGACAATGGCACACGACTATCCCAAAACTACATCACCGAAGAGAACTACAAATCTGTTCCAGATATCGAGATGGAGCAAGTTGGAAGACTCCGTTTCAACGGCCGTTTCTCCGCGGGAACCGATTCTGATCACATCAAATTTGCCAGCACGAATGACGATCGCGAAACCATTGAGACCTGGGAAGCCTGTTACGCAGAAGGCGTGCGTCAGCAGGATGTCGAGGCTGAAGTCCCTCCTGTAATTCAGAAACTACATGAGGAGTCTTTGACCCATGGCCGTGATGTTCTTGCTCAAGCCGACGAGAAGCAGAAGGAAAAATGGCTCGCCAAGGACGGCACTGACTGGAGCGGAGCCTTTGGTGAAGACCCTTCGGCTATGATGTCGGGAGGAAGACACAGTCAGGACAGTGAAGAGTATGATGACTTCGATGAAAATGATTCCGATCCCGACCTTGGTATCCAGGATGGTGATACTGAACCAACAGAGCCCTCCGAGAATGGCCGCCGTTCGATGGATACCACAGGCACCAATGCGACAAGTGCGACAGCCGATTCTCAGGGCAGCTCCAGCAGCAAGAATCCCATCAAGAAGATCAAGTCTTATCGTTCAGACAGCCGCGACTTGCACCGAAAGCATCGAGGTCTTATGCAATGGCGTCCAATGCGCAACGTGCAGTTTGTCAAGGACGAAGCCAAGTTTGCGGTCCGAAAGGTGGCCAAGCTTGGAGCGCTTGATGGCCGAAAGCCTGACGTCGAGACTGAGATTTAGTGTGTTTATTTTCTTTTGTAGTAAAGGGATAATAGTGGTCGGTAAACGAATGAGATTGATGATGACACGAATGGAGTTTTAATGGTTACGCTTGTATAAATACGAAGCAGTTTTATGCGAAATGAATTCAACCCTTTTATTTTTAGCTTACATGCTGTGCAACCGCAAACATACAGGCACACTTGCGCAATAAAAGTAGAGTCAGTGAATAGGAAAAAAGTGTCTGTGAAATTAATTGCTCTCGTTGCCGCCTTCCAAGTGAATCTCAGATTCGAGGTTGAAGCACGTGAGCAGCCGATAGGTAGCGCCACGCCTCTTGGCAATCTCTCTACACTGACACTGACAGTACTTGCTATTCTTCTTACAATTTTTTTTGTTTTGTTTTCATACTTGAAAGGAGAATATTTCTACTAAAAGCTTTTGTCTTCAGGCTGATCATTCTATTAATACCATTTACTTAGCATCAAAAGTGCAATCGACGATTGCTCATACGTTTAGCGACATCGCGCCGCGCCGCGTTGAGGCGTGTCAAGGTGTAAAGCATGAGTTTCAATACTATAAACGGTGGGAATACCAACCAAAACAATCAACAGGCGAAATTACCACCTCAAATCTCTCGCTACGATTCTCTTTCGGATAGTGCTGAATCAGATGATCCTTTGGCCAGAGATGCACAAACAAAAAGCCACGAACAAGATCCAGTCAAGCGACATTCAGAATCTCTGACACCAAGTAGCCAGTCAAACTTGGGCGCTGGTTTGAAAAGGCTACCAGCAGACATCAACGGTTACAGAGAGGCCAGCTTGGAAGAAGATGACTTTGAAGCGCCAGTCATGTCAGACTTGACGCCACGACCACGAGGAAGACCACCAAAGACGTTATCCCAACCAGCTCAGGTCCCTAAAACGTCGGTGCCAAGTGAAACACGAACCGGTGCTTCCAGCGCTGCAACGTCGACAACACCGGCGCGGAAAAGAGGCAGGCCTAAAGGTTCACTAAATAAACTGAAAAACGTCTCAACAGCCGCCGCTGGGCGGCAGGCCCGACAAGTCAAGCCGCGGCCTCACCCTGATGGCTTCGTCGGCTTTCCTAAACGAAGAGGACGTCCCCCGAAGCTCCCATCACCCCCTCCCAGAGAGCTTTATTACAAGACAGACGTCCAATTCTTCCCGTTTCTGTGTGAGTGGATGGACTGCAAGGCTGAGCTACACAACCTTGAGACACTGCGGCGGCACGTCTACATAGTCCACGGCGACTCTATTGAGTGCATGTGGGGAAAGTGCGGCCGTCTAGAGAAGCCTCCTGAATTTGAAGAAGACGAGGCCTTCAAAGAGCACATGGAGGAGACACATCTAGTGCCCTTATCATGGCACGTTGGCGATGGGCCAAATAACTCTGGAAAGCAGAGCTTGCAAAGAAAAGATGATGACAATATACCGGACTACCTCAAAGATGAGCACGGCAATCAAGTCACGCCCTCGATTCGGGATCAAGAAGAGGAAGATTTGTTAACGTGGAGAAAGAACCGCCGTAAGCTGAAGGAGCTGCTTATCCGTATGAACGATAACCTCCCCGATGAGCCTGGCGAAGAGGGGGTTACCGAACGACCAAATGCTTGAGAGGCTCAACCATCCAGAGGCTGTTAACATTTGATACATCACGGCCAGTCTAATGCACCTGGAAAGTGAAATTCAAGGTTTATTTTTAAGTATGGCTAACCAAAGCTTGAATCCCTTTCCTTGTCAGCATGGCATTGGTGGGTTACGGTCGATGTTTTGGCTAGAGGTGCATTTGCCCAGTGGAAGACGTCGACCGAGACTTCCCACTCAAGGATGTTAGCTCGATAAGATTTGTGGCAGATGGGAGTTCTCGTGATAAGCACATGCTTTCAAGTGCCGTGCAGTTCTGATTAGCCTCGAAGCTTGAGGGATAGGGTGTTAAGAAGATTAGAGGCGGCGAACTAATAAAGCTCGATTACTCTGATATTATTTCACTAGATCCAGGGTGGAAATTGCAATTCCCCGATCCCTCAGCTGTCCCAAGCTTGAGAGGCGTTCAGCTGAAATGTCCCAACTTGCATATCATTGACATAGACTCATGAAAAGGTTCACCCAATATCCCGAATATCGATATGGAGGGACGGGATGTTGCAGCAGATCGTCACTGATTACTTTCAAGATTTTGGGACTTTGGGCAACATAACCAATCGAGTTCAATTATTGCGGAAAAGAACAAATTACAACAACTTTGACCGTTCTAAATCAAATCCCAAACACCAGATTTCAGCTCCCCATTCCACCAAATTAAGTACTAGACGAACAAATTACTAGTGCGAGCTCCTTGACCGGCCAATTTAGTAGCCCTTCTCGTCACCGGTCAGAGGGTTTTGGACCTGGATGAGACCGGGAGCAGCGAGAGTGTAGGTGGGAACGTCATCGGGAGTCGAGATGTTGTTGGAAGTGGTCAAAGCAGCATGGGAGAAGCCTGAAGCGACAAGCTCGAAGAAGGGGAAATTGGCATCAAGAGTGACAGAAGCTCCATCCCATTTGACGTTCTCGGCCTTGACGCTGTAAGGAAGCTGCTGGCCGGTGGTGTAGGTAATGTAGAGGTCCTCGCCGCTGTGGGACTTGTCGAGAGTGGCGCTGAAGGAGAGGGTCTGGTCCTTGGGCTCAAGAACAGCAATGGCGCCACCGTTGACCATCAGGCCAGGGAAGATGGGCAGCTTGATTTGGCTGATGTCCTCAGTGCATGATCCAGGGACGACAAAGGCCTGGAGAGCAGACCAGGCAAAGGCAGCGGGGACAGTAGTCAGGAAGGGGGACTCAGAGGGGACTTGATCGAGATAGAGGCGGTAGAAACCGTTCTGCTCACCCTCCTGGCCAATGACCGATGAGATGAGGCGGACAACCTCAGGAGCACCCTCCTTGCTGAAGATGACATTGGCATCCTGAAGAGCACCGAGGACAACATCTGTAAAGGTACCGGCCAGGAGAATAGCATCCTTGAGGTTATCGACGGGGAACTGGTATTTGCAAGGCGAAGGAGCAAACTTGCCCGCTGACTTGAGCGTGGCTAGGGCACCAAGAGCATGGTGCTCCTCTTGCTATTGTGGAGTGTCAGTGATCTGATATAAGCGGTGATGGTTAGCAAGTGCACTTACAGCAATGACAGTCTTAAGAATCTTCTGAGCTTCCGCAAGCTTATCGCCATCAACTTGGTAGTTCTCTACACCTTCGGTCACGTTGTAGAGAAGAGAGCTGAAGTAGGCAGTCTCAAAAAGCTCATTGAATGCGATGAGCTGGAAAGCTACTGTGGAGCCATCACCAAGAGAGGTGGGAAGAGGAGCGCCAGGTAGTTTACCGCCAGCCTGGAGGTTGATAGTGTTAAGCTGCTCCTGATCAGGGTTGGGGAAGCCGTTGGATGAAGGGACTCTGTAAGATCGAGGTAAAAGGCCAGCAAAGGCAGAGCTGATGAGGCCCGCAGAGGCAAAGAGTGTAGAGAAATGCATGACTGCTTTTGTAAAGGGAGCGAGTATTGGCTATGCTTGGAAGAGAGAGAATGTGCAAGATGTATAAGAGACTGGACAGGGAATATGATACTGTAATGTAATAAAGCTGATGAGGGGGAGTTGCTTTGGTGATATATATAAGAGAGAGAGTTTGATGGGGGACCGAATAATGTGAACAAGGCGCACGGTCTACGCCGAAGCTGGAGCCTGAGCCTCTCAGCTGTTAGCAATTGAGTTCATGGCGATGTTAGTTGTCGTGAGGAGCTGTGCACTTGAAGGTATCATGACGACATGTATCTCGCCGAAAGAATGCAACGAGATTGGGTATCTTGAGTCTTAGTTCTCACAGCCTCTAGTCTGGTCGGCGATGTTGCACCCTCTACTGAGGAGGCTAACGACTTAGACGACCGTCAGCGCGGCTAAGACGGCCATGGCTTGAGATTGCAGCAGTACGTACTGAGACTACCATGGGGTAGGATCGGAGAATAGCGGTAGTGCGAGGGGACGATGTTACCTTGGATCTTTTCTCGTCATAGTTCAATTGACTCTTTATGTTGATACTGGGCTTTTCTGTTGTAATTGTCCATCGTCATATTCGCTCCAGGTAACAAAGCCATTGTAGCCATTTTCACCAGACAGACCCAAAACAAGCAAACTACCAGAGAAAATTCACTGATTTTGCGAGAATGTAACATGGACACCATCAGTTTCACACACTTTGGTTCGGCTCTTCTGCCGTGTGGCTGAACGCCATTCGAACAGTAAGCGTAACTAAAGGGACGTCAAGTTCTACTCCGCCTTACGGCTTCACCATTCCCTGTGTCTCTAGCTCCAATCCTCTGAAGTAGGGTAGGGCTTAGACTTGACTACATTCGGGAAGTACAGATCCGAGTTAAAAATGTAAGTGGAGGGTCCCGGGATCAACGATATTGCCAGCTCTAGTAGATGTAACGGCTCGAGGTTTGCCGGTGCTAAATGGGGACTTTGGTAAGCGGCCAATGAAACATGATGACCTCAGATGGCCTTTTAGATCGTTCTTGCAAGACTAGGATCGGAATGTTATCTTTGCCTTGTCTGTAGTGAAACTTATAGCTCGGATCACGGTTCACCACTGGTGTCACATTGCATCAATTACACTCGAGATGTCAGCACTTGAATCAAGTCTAGAGTACAAGTGACAGTGCAGATCCGTGAAAGTCAATCAATCAGACCTTGTGTGTCTGAGTAAGTTCCAACTCCCTGGAGATCACTCTGCAGTTCTGATCGCCTCCCCGTTCATTTTGAGTCGGAACTCTGTTGATGTTTCGCGTGCTTAATCTACAAGTGTTTGCATGAAACTATGAAACTACGAAACTATGAAACTATTATTTAACCATAAACATGGTTTACAGTAACTGCTTCCGCAGGTTTTAGTTCTAGAAAGCGTTGGTATAGTTCAAAGTCCAATCTGTTATCTGAATGTCTAATTCAGCTGGAGCCTGTCTTATTCATAACGGTCGGTATGGAAGCTGAAAAACGTTTAATACTATACCAAAGTCCCGTTTAAGACTATGGCCAATCAGTAATACCGCTGGTATGGCTTCTGGTATATATATAAACGTTCGATTTGAGGTTCATCGATATTGAATGATAGACTGGCATCTGGAAGTCCGAAATCTTCTATCAAGTTACACAACAACTTTTCACTATGTCTTGAGGACGGACTTCACTCCTTTGTATCTAGCCAGTCATATATCAGATGACGTCTAGTCCGTGTGCATGTATCTCTAGATGGTAGGCAAGTCTTTTGCTAGTTTAGGTGGATGTATTGTCCACAATCAATCAACCTTGAACATATCTTCCTCCGAGAATATTTCTTATCCATAGCAAACACCCAACCAGCATCTACACAATTCAACGGATTAATTTATTTACGAGCTTATACGCTGCCGTTTTGATTCTGTCTCCTGTGTGGACAATTTGGTAGACCTGCCCTACTCGCAGATCTTTCTTCGCCCAACTGAAGTTTTGTTTGGTGGTTCTACCTCTCTATATTTAACCATGCATATATGCCTTGTGTAAACTGCAAAGATGATTTGATGGAACACCCAACATTGAAATCGATGAAACATGCCCCCGCTGTATCCCCTGAAGCCTGGCGCTTACGAGCGTCTGCACTCGAGCTGGGCGCTTAGAGCAGGACGAGGCATTGTTATGAAGCCTCATTAACCCATATAGCTTCTATAATTGATTTCCTCCTAATAAATACTTTAATGCCATATCCTACGATAATTCATAATGCTATCTTCTTTGCGACGAGTCTTTCGTACCAAATCCGGCCTCGGTTCTAAAGTTGAAGAGAAGCACAGTTCCGAACCAGATTCATCACCAAATCCTTTATCTAGAAATCGAACGACTTACTTCTACTCCGGTATACACACTTTGCATAGTTCTGAATATGATGAGGTCGAGTGAGTTTGATTTGGTTTATTGGAAATCCCTATCATCTAACCCTTATAGTATCGTATTTGTTCATGGACTGAAAGGGGACTGCCTCAAAACTTGGAAGGATAAGAATGCTACTGAACCGTGGCCTAAAACGCTCCTTCCTCTTGAATTAGGCACTGCTCGAGTTTTGACTTACTCGTATGACTCGACTGTGACTGGTAAAGAAGGCAGTCCCTCCCAAAACAGAATCTCGAACCACGCGCAAAATCTATTGGCAGCTCTTGCTACACTTCGACAGAATGACAATACAGTGAGATCAATCATACTCATCTCACATCTCTGTCTACTAACAGCAATAGAACGAACGCCCTATCATCTTTGTTTGCCATAGTCTCGGTGGGCTCGTTTGCCAAGATGTAATTCTTCTCTCTTGCCCAATATCCGGGTTATCTCGACTCACATTAATAGGCACTCGTTACAGCACAAGGGCGGCCTCAACAACATTTGCAAGACATCGTCCATTTCACACGCGGTGTCATATTCCTCGGAACACCACACCATGGATCAAGTCTTGCAAAGATAGGAGAGTTGGTGTCGCGCTCCTACGGATTCATTAAAGAAACAAACACCGATATCGTCAAAGTTCTCACTGAAGACTCGGAGGTTCTAGCTCGAATTCAAGACAGCTTCTTGGCTCTGATCAGGGCACGTGGCAAAGATGAAGCAAGCATGATTGACATCACTTGCTTCTATGAAGAGCTGCCCACCAAAAGGCTTGGGTTGATTGTCCCAAAGCACTCAGCTATACTGCCTGGTTATGCTTTCATAGCTATACATGCAAATCATGCCGGAATGACGAAGTTCTCTAGTCCTGATGAGCCTGGCTTTAGAGCTGTCTCTGGTGAGCTGAAGCGCTGGATGAAGAGAATTCACCAAACCCCACGCAAACCCTCAAAGCAAGCCATCGTCCATTGTAAGTCGAGTGTAGTCGATCGGTTATGACCTACTGATTTCTCCTAGGCCTTATCCCTTATACATGTAACCCAGACTTTATAGGGCGGTCCGAGATTCTCGAACTGCTGAAAAGTCAACTCAGCTGTTTCGACATTCCATCCCAAAAAAAGGGACATCGAAGAGCTGCGCTTTATGGTCTAGGAGGAATCGGGTATGGCTAATAACTATTACTCAATGATGAGTTTACTAACTTGAGATAGGAAAACCCAGATCGCCCTCGCTTACTCGTATTGGCTACAAGAGATCTCCAAAGACATATCGATTTTCTGGGTCCATGCTAGCAGTACGGAGCGATTCACCGAGGCCTACATCAAAATTGCAGAACAATGTAAAGTTCCGGGTTACCAAGATCCAACTTTCGAGGCTTTGCCATCAGTCAGGGACTGGCTGGAGAGTGAAGAAAGCGGACAATGGATGATGGTCATCGATAACGCCGACGACATGCAACTATTTGTTCCTCAGACCGACAAATCCTTGAACCCCCCAGCTACTCCTGATGACAGCTTGGGTCAGTTCATACCCGCTTGTGCACATGGTACCGTTCTCATCACAACGAGGAACATGCAGGTGGGTTCGCGACTTACAAAAGGCAAGCGTCCAATCGAGGTGGGCAAGATGGACGAACACGAAGCCGCTCAGCTTTTACGAAAAGGCCTGCAACAGGGAGATGACACCTTAATGGATCTGATGCAACTCTCGTCCCGGTTGGAGTTTCTTCCCCTTGCGCTAGTGCAAGCAGCTGCTTTCATACAGGAGAACGGCATCACTGTCATTGAGTACGTGGAGCTCCTCAATGGAAGCGAAAACGACGTTGTAGAGCTGTTGTGCGAAGACTTTGAAGCTACAGGCAGAGACTCAGATACCCCTCGCCCTGTCGCGCAAACCTGGATGCTATCTTTTCAACAGATTAAACGCCAATGTCCCTTTGCTAGCGAACTTCTTTCTTTGATGAGTTTATTCGATCGCCAGGCAATACCCTTGGAGTTTCTCGAGTTTTACGGCGAAGGGCAAAAGCGTGTAGAGTCGAACATCAAGATGCAGCTTGTTAAAGCTTTGGGAGTCCTTAAGGCATTCTGCTTCATTCGTGCTGAGCGAGGCGGTGATTACAACATGCATCGCCTCGTACAGCTAGTTACAAAAGCCTGGTTGACCCGAGAAGGCACCATGTCTGGCTTTGCAAAAGAAGCTTTGCTGTCTGTGTCGGAGTTCTACCCTTATGGTACATTTGAAGAGATTGCAACTTGCACAGCTTATCTTGCGCATGCCAGTTCGGTCCTTCAAATGCAAGAGATTGAGTCAGACGAAGACAAACTGCTCCGAGCCTCGATGCTGCATAGGCTTGGAGGTTACTACCTATATCAAGGGCGGTATTGTGAAGCCGAGAAGTTGCAAGAAGAGGCAATTGCCCTACGCAAGAGTTCACTGGGGGATGATCACCCTGAAACACTTGTCGTAATGTCAGACCTTGCTTCTACACTTTGTGACCAAGACCGACTCAACGAAGCTGAGGCGTTAGAGGTTCGGATTATGGAAACTTGGAAGCGCACACGTGGCGAACA